GCAGAGATGTCACTGGCAGGGTTAACTCGGGGATCCCAAAGGCAGTTTCCTCCCACCTTGTTTCAGTTGCTACTGCTACAATCTCCAGCTTTCTTCCCAAAGAGTTAGCTGGGTCTACTGGGACAGTGGTACCATATGGCACGTAGGAGTCCATCCCAGCTGCCCCCTCTCTCTACCATCTTTTCCAGGCAGGTTGTATTGGGATTACAGGGCAAGGTTTGGGGGGCACAAGGGTGGCCTCTCTGAGCAGAGCAGTGAGTGATGCTGGTTGGGCCTCTGGGAGAGCAGATCAAAGGAAGGGGAAAAAAAAACGTGGCCTGTGGAGGGGCCCCTGGTGGAGCAGGCTGTCCCCCTGCAGCCCATGGGGGACCCGTGCTGGAGCAGTTTGCTCCTGGGGGATGGATGGATGGACCCCATGGGATGGAGCTGTGTGGGAGCAGTGCTTGAGGAGCTGCTGCCTGTGGGCAGCCCATGTGGGATCAGTTGGGGAAGGACGGCATCCCGTGGGAGGGACCCCACGGGGAGCAGGGGCAGAGATGAAGTGTCAGGGACTGACCGCAGCCCCCATTCCCTGTTTCCCTGCCCTGCTCAGGGAGAGAAGGTGGAAGAGGGTGGATTGGGGGGAAGGTGTTTTTAGTTTGCTTTCTGTTTCTCAGTGCTGTAGTCTGTTAGTAATGGGCAATAGATTACATTATTTTCCCTATGCTGAGTCTGTTTTGCCCATGGTGGTAATGAGTGAGTGAGCTCCCTGTCCTCATCTGAACCCTTGAGCCTTTTTGTATCATAGTTTCACTTCCTTTTCCTTCGAGGAGGAGGAGCGTGAGATCAGTGTCTTGGAGTTTAGCTAGCCATCAGTGTGCAAATACCACGCAGGTGAAGAATGCCTTGCTTGCAGGTCTATTTTCAAAAGGCAAGTTAAAGTATAGCTGATAGCTATACAGCATGCACAGTTTCCAATGAGATTTACAAAATAATAATAACAATAATACAATAAAAGAAAGGACTTCACTATTCAAAAATGCCATCTGGAGAGGTGCACAGGTCATTTGGAGATATTAAGTACAGGTTTATACACTGACTACTACTATACACACTTCCTTGTACAAAGCATAACATGTAACAAAAATCAAAACAGGGCATGAGAGGAAATATCTTACAGTTGTGGGTGACAATTTAGTTTCCCAAAGTGAGGAATAGCCTCCTATTACTTATTCCTTGCCAGAGCAGCTGTTTTCTGACATCACGGTCTCTCAAACTGCCTCTGGCAGCTTTTTGCCAGGACAACACTGGGATTCCTAAACTTGCCCAGGTTGCAGATTTTCTGAAGGTTTTATTTGCATCTATTCTGTCCATTCTTATCATGGCTTCCTGAGATCCCTCTTAACACTAGGTTAAAGAAGAAAGTAACAGATTCATTCTATCAATGCAAAGCTGATTCTTCTACCTACATTTTTCTTTTCATTTTAGTAGTTGTGTGAATATCAGCTATAAAATCATATTGTAGTCTCACCCCTATCATAGACTAGAACTATTTCCGTGGCTCTTTTGATGAACCAGTACTTTCCAGAGATGGCACTTGCCACATAAATGAATTGTAGGGGAATTACGTTTAGCCAAACTGCAGAAGAGATAGTGATCAGAGGTCTGTCCAATCACTTCAGCTAATTTCTGAAGTTTATTCCACCGACTTCAGGAAGAACTAGATTCAAGAGCCTCTAGTGGGCATGGCTGCATACTCAAGCTTTCCACTGACACCTTTAGATGTCGGTAGGAAATCATTAGGAGGATGCCAACACCATCAGGCCTAAGACAGTCATGGTTACAGTGATAGCAGGATGCCTGATCTGTCTCAGGTACTCCCTGTCTGGCCAAGGAAAGCAAGCTGCTCCCCCTGGTCCTCCTCTCTAGGGAATCTGGTTTGATGCACACAGTATAAAAAGAACAACAAGTTTGGTATATTGGCCTGAGTTAGGCTATGGTGATCCAGCACAGGACTGCCCAGTAGGTACCCCCTGACAGCACTATTCAAATGTCTTGCTACCCTTTATATTTGTGTTTTGTTTTGTTTTGTTTTGTTTTCCTTGCATTTTCATTCTCCATCCTCATTTTCTCCCAAATAAGCACCACCCACCCTTATTTGCCATTTTTCCCAAAGGTCCCAGATCTGTCACATGTGCAAAAATCAACCGTCATTTCTCGTTCTTTTTTCTCTGATCTTCATTACTTTTTCTTTCTTTGGTTATATACTTCAGAGTGTCTTTCCTACCTCACACTTCTCCCCTCAAACTTTGGGGCTTATTGCCAAGAGAAATAAACCTCATTTCTTTCCCTGAAGGAGCAACAATTTTACAAAGAAAAAAAAAAAAAAAAAAAAAAAAAGAGAGAGAGAGAGAGAGAGAGGGAGAGAGAATTTTAAACTTGCACAAATCCCACTAATAAAAATAGACTTAAGTAGTATTGTCTGCTATTTTTTTTTCTGGTTCTCTGATAGCAAAAACTGGTCCTACAAAATATTCTGAAAAATATGATTGCTTTGTGCAGTTTCTGTCCATTTCAATCTCTGACTGAATGCATCTAAATAGAAGCCACTCAGCCCTGCTTTGCTATAAAATCGAATAGTTAGAATCCATGATCATCCACTGTGGAAAAACACAGAAGAAAGCAAATGGATGTGTTAGGGGCAAGGAACTTTATTCTGTAGCAGAATTGTTGTACTTTCTGTAGTGACATCCCAAGCACAAACTGTATTGTTTCAAGGAGTTGCCTGGCTCTTCTAGGTGAAACTTTCCCCTGGAGAGCATTATCCCTTGTTGGATATGACAAGGAAGCTGAAACACAGCAAGATAAAGGGATTAACCAGGAAACATCAGCAGATCGTTGGCAGAGTCAGGAAGCGAGTACTTGCCTCCTATCTCCCAGGCTGATGCACTCACCAGCCAGCAGAGGTCAACTTAAGATGCCTATGAGCTTACATTCAGCTTCCCATGGCAGTCCCATTCCCTTGGCCTGTCACCTGCTTGTTTGTAGGACCACTGTCCCAAGCACCCTAGAAGGTCTGCAACAAATTCAGCCTCCTACCTTGTAGAACTTGTAGCTGAAGTTCTTGAGTGGTGGTCAAGCAGAGCACCATATGTGAAGCTGCTGTCGTCACCAACAGGACATTTGATTTAGCTGCTCATCAATTGTACATATTTGTGGTTTTCTGGTGTGTGGGAAGCATACATTCAAAGCTGGTCATGTGCCTTTCTTCCTCTCATATGATTTTGTGTGAAATCCTTAGCTATAACAAGTCCTACAATTCAAAATACATGTATATGCTGACCTATTGCTTTATTAAGTTGTGAATACTAATGAAAAGAACATTAAAAAAAAAAAAAAGATAAATATTTCCCAGCCAAACACGTACCTGTGAAGTATTTTTATGTAGTTAGCACAATGGCTGTCAGTACAGATGGTGCAGAATCACACCATTCTTTGGGGAAATTCAGAGATTGTTCTTCATACAGGGCAGGAAGCTGGCTGGCTGGCATTCCCCTGACTGCAGCAGCTGGTATAAGGCCAAATATTCATGTAAGTATCTACTGGCAGAGGTCTGTTCTTGTACCAGGCTTCCTCCTTTATTCCAGTGCAAAACACCCAGGCAAAACCCACCTGTGCCATTCCCAGTACCCAAAGCCTCTCATAATTGCTGCTAATATTTGGTGAGAACTTTCTGGATGTTCATATAATACATGTTTGGAAGAACCTGGCATGTTCTGAGGAATGGGATAAAACAGCAAATCACACAATTTCAGCAATACTGTCATACCTCTGGACACACCAGAGGCATCCAAAACTCTTGTGGTAACGAAGTAAAGCAAGTGTCTCCACACATATGATGGAAGAAAGCAGCCAGAGCAATCCATTCTGACACAGCTCCCAACTTAATCGCTGACATAAGAGTCTATACAAAACCAGACTCAAGCTTAGTTTCAAAATATACACCTGCAGTCTGTGAATAGCTTTGTGAATTTATGCTGTCCTGCCCTTTTGTTAAGATTAACATTAAGATTAAAGAGTGAGTTGGAGATTTCCAAATTGAAGAAAAGAAGTATGAAAGCGTTACACTAAGCTGACACCATGGAGGGGATATGTTACTTTTACAAGTTTGTGTGAGAGAGGTTTTGGATATCAAAAGGCCTTAATCACAGGCCTGAGGAGACTGGATCTGCTTGTAATATTAGCGGCTGATACAGCAATGTTTCTTACCATGATCCTCTGGAATCACCTCTGAAGGCATTCAAGACCAGCCACTGACAGACAGGGACCTAATCTTAGAGGTACACCAGTCCAGCAGATAATTCTTATTGCCGAGAAGCAGGTCCTTTTGGTGTTTTAGCTAAGTAAGATGTTTTTTTGTAAAACAAAGGAGCAGGTAATAATACCATACGGTTCAGGCTAACATCCAATTTATTGAAAAGGTGTTAAAGTGCCGTTTTTCACAGGAAGGTGAATTTGCCCTTGGCCTGCAATTCATTAGATCCCAGCTCTTGCCTTCAGCCTTTTGCCATGAGGGACTATGAAAACAGCAGACATAATTCCCTAGAGCCACACAACCTGATACGTAGAGCTTATATGACAGTTTCCCCAAGTAAGGCTGAAAAACGTCTTTTAGGCTAAAACTTTCCCTTTCCTTTCAAGACAATTTTTATCTTTAATGCACAGTTTCCCTTTATGGCAAAAAACAGGCTACATATAATGGATGATGGTCCATTATTTGTACAATCAGCCAACATCAGCTATTTCAAAAAAAAAAAAAAAAGAAAGAAAAAAAAGGGCCAGTGCTATTTTGGGGTGTATCAATAGGGTTATTACAGGAAAACAACCAACATAATTACTCCAGTCTAGACAGCAGTGACTAGGCCTTAATTGGAATAAAGAAGTTGGATTTGAGTACCACAGCTCTAAAAGCTGATTATGAAAAAAAAACACCCCCCAAAAATAAACCAAAGAGCAATCAATTAGAAAATACAACCTATAAAGTTTATTAAAGGACCTAGATATATTCAATTGCTTTCCTCTCCCACCCAAATAATGGCTTTATGCATTATTACTTGTCAATGTAAGAAAGGCAAGACCCAAACAAATAAATGCAATATGTTTATGAGTAGAACCTTAATAAAGAGCAAAAATGTAATATAACAAGCTTCATGTCTGAAAGCTGTACAAGTTGAAACTACTGTCACTTTCTATGGACACCTATTTATTTGTTACAGCTTAAAGAGATCAGTTTTGTTCTGACTAAAGGGCGGACTAGCAGTACAGTTACCAGAAATCCATATGGGATGCCATATTCTTGACAACCCAGCTTTTAATTGCCTCAGAAGTTGGCTCATCATCTTTCATGGGTGAAAACATAATAGAAAAGGAAATACTATTTCTCATCCAATTTTCTCTCATTCAGCATTCCTGTTGCCCTCACTGTTACACTATCAAATTCAATTTATTGAGATAAAACTGATAATAATTACCTTTTCAAACATTTCAGTTCTTTAGGTGTTTTTTTTTTGTTGTTTTGTTTTAATCAATTTATATGTATTTTTACATGTTCAACTGAAATTAACATTAATTTGTATCTTGGGTTTAACAGAATCAATATTTAGCAAATTTCCATACCATCTGTTTTCAGAAGAAAAATATTCTTCAGAGTGTGCACTCAAGATAGCAGTGGACATATTGAAGTTAATGAAATCAGAAAGAATATTGAAAGAACAAGATCTTAGGGATAAAGTATTGGACAATATCCTTACACAAGATTCACAAAGCAGGTACACAACTGAAACCCTTAGCCTCCTGCAAATTCTCTAGCAAAGTTTCCACTCCAAGACTTGGAAGTTCAGTCTGTCACAAAAATCTGTGATTTCCTGAAAGGCCAATACATTTTCCAGAGGAAGTAACTGGATCAGTTTATGTTTAGTTTTGTTTGTTGCAGCTTAAATACAAAATCAGGTATTCAAAAGGTGAATGAACTGCTTGGTATTTTCTCTGCTCTGATGTGAAGTGCTTTTAAGAATTAGACCGGTGATGTATGATTCAGTTGTCGACTCTTTTTTTGAGCTTACCTTTCACAAAAAGCATTACATCATTAACACAGAGAAGAGCAGGCTGTTATGATTTTAAGAGTGTACTGTAAAAACAAACTTTTAAGTAGTTATTTAGTTATTCAAAGCACCACTTCCAACCTCATCATCCTTAAAGAAATTAGAAATTGCAATTTGGCAATCTTCACCTAATATTGAAAAGTAACTTGGAATAGTGGGGAAACTTTTCAAGATCCCTTCAACTGCACAGATAAGATAATGCTGTTATCTTAAGATAATAGTTTTTTTAGAGATATGCTTCAGTAGTTCCAAATATTTAAGACTGATAAAATGAAATGTCTTCCGGAACAATTTGGCAATTGAAGAAAAGTGACTAAAAACATGATTACACAAATTTTAAAACCGTATAATGATTTATGTACAGCATACTTTGCTGTGTTAGGGACTAAGAGCTAAGAACATACTAGTGTTTCTGGAAAATCCGTGTTTGCTTTCTCGGTATAAATGATTATATGTTTTCAAAAGCCAAACTATTTGAACGCTCTGCACTTTTCCCATTTGCAAATATTTCTAATGCAGTTTCATTGTTGCTTTTAAAACTAATCAAGAGAGAGAGAAGCTTGTTCCCCCCTTTCAGAGTTGCAGTAATGAGTGACTATCAAAAACATTGATATTTTCACAATTCGAGATGGTGGCTAGAGAGAAAAGATACGTCTTTTCAAAACTAATCTTTTAATTGTTTTCTCAACTGAAAGAAGAATCATTATTAGCATGTACTTAAAATTCTAGTTCTACCAAGAAGTATTGGTTCAGTTGTAGATAAGCCTTAGAAAAAAGCACTTCTTTAATCTTTCATCACATATGAGTGGCTCTGGATAGCACCAGTATTTACTCAGGATGAGTTCCATGCTGAAAACAAGGCTTAATCATTCAGGACACATTTATCTGCAAAAGTTTGATTCATGTGGCAAACTAATAAAATAAGGAATCCCCTTTAAAACATGGAAAGACTGGTCATCTTCTTCAAAGGGGAGTATTTTCAGGAAGCTCAACACCTGATTATCCAGCCTGCACATGTTATACAAGACAAAATATAGATTTTGTATTACATTTTTAAGCCTTAGTATTAAACCTGCACCATGGTGATGCAGTCCAGATGTAGTTAGAAAAAGACAAAGTTATGGTCAGTTTCTGAAAATCGGATATTGAGCTACTTTTTTGGGTGAGCAAGGGACAGTACTTCATGTTGGATGGGGACTGTGAGGCAGATTTATTTAAATGTTGTAAAATTAACACCCCGGCTCCTTAAAAATGAAAGGAACCATGTTTCCAAGTGAAAAGACATATTCTATCAAAATTCAAACAGGAAGAATTAACTCTTTAAAACAGAGGTAAACCAAGAGATTAGGTAAAACAGAAGTGAAACCTTAAAATGATTTGCAAAGGAAGGCCCTCTAGTTATTTTATTTCACTGAAGCACATCCTTCCCATTAGGCTTCCTGACAATCTGACAAGTCATTGTCATGAGGCGGATTGAAAACTGGTTGAAGTATTCAGCTCAAAGGATAATCATCTGTTGATCCACATGAAGCCCAGCTGGATGCAGTGGTGTACCAGTCAGCAGCAGCGTACTCCAGGAGCTGGTACTGGATCCGGGACTGTTTAGCTTCTTCATAAGTGACCTGGAAAATGAGACAGAGTGCACCCTCACCATATTTTCAGATCATACAAAGCTGGGAGAATGGGTGATAGGTCCCATGGGTGTGCTGTCATACAGAGGGACCTCAGCTGGCTGGAGAACTGCGCCAACAGAAATGTCCAGAAAAACAACAAAGTGAACCGCACAGTCCTGCACCTTGGGAAGGAATAGCCCCATGTACCAGTACACACCGTGGGTCAACTGACTACAAAGCAACCTTGCAAAAAAGTATGTGGAGGTGCTGGTTGGCAAGTGGAAAATGAACAGCAAGTCACCCTTGAAAGAAGAAGGTTTAGGAAGGAAGGTTGAGAAGGAAGAGGTTGCCCAGGCCAACTGTGAAGTTTCAATCCTAGGAAATATTTAAGACCCAACTGGACACAGTCCTGAGCAACCTGTTTTAGCTGACCCTGTCTTCAGCAAGGGGGTTGAACACAACAATCTCAATAGACCCTTCCAACCACAACTACTCTGTGATTCTGTGAAAGCTGCCACTTCTGGTATCACACCATTGTACCTTCCTGATAGTAGACAGGAGAAATTTCTGAAGCAGGTTTTTACATGTATTACCCTGTTCTAGGCTATTTGCCTTGTTTGTTACCCCTACCCTCTTGTATGCCACTTGTTTCTGAAGATTTCCAAATGCTTACAGGTACGTATATTTTGGTTTTCCATGGTTAATATCATACTGTTCACTCCACACTACTGCAGGCCAATGAGAGGACAAAGCAATACAAACATAATGATTAGCAAGAAGGAAATATGTTACTACATGACAAGAACATGGTGTAACATATCCACTTCTTTAAATATATGATATAACATTTATTACTTCTGTAGTTCCATAAAAAAAAAATCTCATTATCACTGAGGGCAAGGAAGTACCAAAAATGGAAGATAATACTATGAGATATAACTAAACCTTCAATTTTTGCATTCTCCCAAGCAGAGATGCAATCTTAATTTTGCAGATGAAGCAATGGAGTTGTGGGGGTTTTCCACAGATCCCTTCCCAGATTTTTTTATAAAGTTTAAAAATATATTGAGAATATAAAGAAATACATTGGTAACAGGAAGAAGAAAAAAAAAAAAAAGTTGTTTGATCCTTCTCTTCCTTTCTTCCTGGTCTCCAACTGTAGAAGCATTTGATGTCACTGAAAAGACAGTGATCCTATTCTTCCACAAACATCTTCAGCAACTAACAGAAGAGTAGAACAATGGAAAACTTTGATAATCCTCCTCTATCTACAGGATAAATCAATGTTCTCAAAGCTCTCTGGAGCACTGAACCACTTCTTGAATCTTATGGACCATCTATGTGGGACAAATCACATGCTGAGGCGTTAGCTCATGACATAAAAAAGTCATGTGAGGTTACACAGCAAGGGAGAAGCACAGCAGCAAAAGAAACCCATGGTAGACCACAACTTCTACCATACCACACTGTTTAGCTCAGAAACATTGTATTTCCACATGGTTGGGCAGATCTGCTTCAGAAGGTTTATTGTGGCCTTCCAAACCACCAAGATATTAAAGATCAAGTACACAGCATCTTCAAATAACATAGTTTATCTAAATAAAAATCTAAATTTATCAAATAAACTTAATTTGTCCCCTTATTTGCATATTACATAAGATGTAATAGGGATTCTCTAATTTGCCTGCACCTGCACTTCTACAAGGACTAAAAATGTGTATCTTTGTCACAAGACCCATCTCCACCATATTTCAAATATCATCTCACTTAAAATAAATGCAAATCTTTATGTACCTTGTGGGTACACCAGGTACAGCCAGACTGGCCAGCTATATATTGCCACATTATTTTCAAAGGGCAAAGGACTGTGCTGTGTAGCATCCTTATGGTGACTTACCAAAGGCTGCACAGGACAGCACTTCATCAACCACTATGTCTTTAGGGAGATTCCTCTGGCAGAAATGACAAATGAGCATGAGTCCCTGTGGCTTTAAGTTTGAAGGCAAATCTTCCTTTCTGCCATGTCCTTTATCATACTGAAGCAAAATATGTTTTTTAAAAATATGAATGTTCTCTACCTGTATTACAAAATCATGTACATTGTCTGTAGTCCTAGAAGAACTCAAAATTCTATGGAGTAGACATGCAAAAGACCTTATATTTTAGTTATCCCTTGTGCCTTACAGTAAATCAGCATAATCTGCCTTTTATTAGGTTATTGGATGCTGTGGCAAAGAAAAAAATTTGGCTTTTAAGCACTCTGAAGTGAGTACTTTGAAGCCTCAGTAAGTGATAATCAAGAAAAATGGCACTAACATCTCATGATAAATCTTCTCTATATATTTAACTAGGATTACTTGTGAAGCCTCAGAAATTAAAATGATTATATATAGCCTTACTTAAGACTTGAGTTGAGTTTAATAAAGCATATGATATTGGTTTTCAAAATCTTCTCTTTTTGAATGAAGGCGGCTATAGCAATGCCAGTCAAATGAGCTCTTCTGTGAATGGATGGTTCCCTTCACCCCATAAGCCTACTTGACACCACCATTTGTCATCAGACCACCTCCACATGGCAACACATCATATGCACTGTGGATAGTCCAAACTTAGACTTGGCCTACTACTGCCTAGTAGAATATCTGTTGTTTGCTTTCTGCCTGCCCTTTCTACAGCAGTATGCTAATTTGAGTCTCTCTCTTGCATGCAGCCCCTAATTTTTCATGTGACTTGGAAGAATATAAGGTAACCTAGAACTCTTAAAGGTAGTAGATTTGGTTGAATTTGGCCAGCAAATTCAGATTATATTAGTGTAGAACTGACAGATGAACACAGAGACAGTGCCATAGCACAAGTCTCTTCCAAAAGTCTTGAAGTCGAGTTAAAAAATAATTTCTCCTAAGCAATTTATTCAACTAGAATTAGAACCTGAGGTTTCAGTGTTATAAAATGAAATTATAATTTTTCTCAAGGGAGGATTGAAAAATTTCTTGATGGCCACTAAAAATATAAATAAAAATTCAAAAGCTCATGAAATCTCAGTTCTCTTGACAGTTATAAGAGCTTTGCTGTCAACTTCAGAGTCTTTTTTCTTGTAAAGTCTATTATTTAGCAAGAACAGGATTATTTCTCTATCACATTTCTCCATCTTTGGGTAAAAGAACCATTTTTCTGAGTATCATTACTAGACTATGGAATCCGGGTGCCCTTGTCCAAGTATTTCCAAAATGGAGGCCAATAATTGCGAGGTGCTTTAACATTTCTTGAAATGTAAAAAAGGGAGGAAATGGACGTAGAGAGGCAATGAGACTGTCATTCTAAGTAATAATAATTTAGTCATTTGATGTTTGGGGAACCTTAAGTTTGCTGCAGGCAATGAAGATACTTACTCTAACCTCTTTTCCACCTATATCATCTTTCCTATGTAATCAAGTTGCTCAAGGCCATCCAAAGGTCTTCATCCAAAGGTCAATGAGCTGACCTGGGAGTAGATTGGGAACTGCAATGTTCTAGCAGCAGAAGCAATTGTTTTGCAGTCATACATCTCTGCAAGCATCTCCCAGGTTTTGTTATACCACAAGGGAGAGATTTTTTCACTTCTGTTTGTCAAGCTTTGTGGTCATAGACAAGTATTATCTGAATAGCAGCAGTTTCATGTCTATGCAAAGTTGTTCTTGAAAATTACATATGCACAAAGTATATATATATATGTAAAAGGCAGCTAAATTTGGTGCCTAGTGCTTGCAGTTGTTGTGTGCCTACTTGAGTGCCTCATGCTTGTTTTTGTTTGTTTGTTTGTTTGTTTGTTTTTAAATCTGTCATTTAATACTGACATGTTTCTTTTCCTTTTTTTTTTAGGATTGGCCCCAGGGCCAACAGTTATGATAATTAATATATCTATCAAAAGAACCAATCTAAAAAAGCACACCTGTAACCTACCAGACAATTGATCCTTTCATTGAAATATGTCAGGAGGAAAAGCTTTTTAAGAAATATTTAGAGTAGCTGGTAAAAATAACACTGAAAGTTTACCACAGTGGAACTAACCCAATGCAGACATTCCCTTGGGGAATATGTATCTTTTAGGTATTTATCTTCATTTCACTTACTGTGTCATGATTTTCTTGTTTGTAAACTGTGAAATAAATCAATTTCTGTCTTTAAGATAAATCACAATTCCAACTATTTACATTCAAAATGTGATAATTTAACTATTTTTTTGGTACCCAAACCAATTATAAATATCTGTAATATCTATTGGAAACTTCTACTTCAGGTATTTCGCTACAAAATTCTGATAAAGAAAGGAAGTGTTTCAGTTCAACCTTCATCAGAAAACAGTGCTTGCTCACAGGTTTTGATGCAGAATTAGAACAGGGCAGCAACTATTAAATTCCATAACCCAAGATCCCAGCTCCCTTGGGATTCTCAAATACATTCAAAAACTTCCTGGTGCCAGCCACAAAATTCACTCTGAACAGAACCTGAACACATCTCAGTACTGGGCACTTTTGGGGACTTGATGAGTGGCCAACATTTACCTCTTCTCTAAATAACTCTCAGCTCAGAAAGAAAGAGCAGTGAGAGCACATGCAAGTAATTGTAGACAGGAGAATGCTTTTGCAGATAGACTTGTAGTAAGAGAGATAAAGAAAGATAGCCTGGCAGCAGGAAAAGTAGCCACTGCAACATCGCCAGCCTATTGACTTCAGCAGACTGGAGGAGAGCTAGAAGAGCTAAAAGAAAAGACATATACATAATGCAAGGATTTCTCCACCAGGACAGGATAAAAGTGGACATCTTAATGTGCAAGTATTTTCTGAATATTCATCAACTTGAATTTGAATGGTAGAACAGTGTTAAACAAGGTATTAATAAAAGAACAAATACACTTAACTGGAAAATAAGACTTCTTGAACATATAGATACTGTTTGAAATGTTTGAGTGCCAGAATAGCTGAATATTTTATTCACCCTGAGATTCATGAAGCATGAAGAAGGAACCAAAACAACCCCAGAAAATTTGAAAAGGAAATGGAGAAACAAGGAAGGATATCCACCACTCAGTAGAAGACTATCCAAAAGTTGTCGTGCAGGCTAGTCCCATTTAAGAGCTCAAAATGGTCATTAAAAGGTAGGTCCTACATAAGTGACAGCCCCCTTGTTTACACTGCCCTGCAATTTCTTTGACCCATACATCATCTCCTACACAAATTCCACTATGGATAATTCTCACCCTTGACAAGCTACTATCCTTTAAAAGACTCTGGAGAAAGCAAAGATCCCCAAAGACAGCTATCATTTTCTGTTCTGCAGTATAATTTACTGCAGATGAAGAAAGGGACAAAAATCAGGAAGGCATGTAAAAAGATCAAATCAAGGTATAATGATTTTGCACCTCCTATAATATTATAACACAATGAATGTGCTTATGTCACATGGAAATTACAGTATCCTAAACTCAAGCATTTGAATAAATGTTTAAATAGGAAACTCCTACTAAATGTTATTCTCCTTCAGCAAAGCATATATCTGTCTGTCCAGCATATAACTGTGTGAAATTCAGCAGTATTTAAATAACGTCCAGTGGGTGTTGCTGAAAGTATTTTGGCTTTGATAAAGGCTGAGCAAAACTCATGAATCTGACAATGCACTGAACAGCAAATTGCAGTTTTGAGAGTCTGTCTCCGGAAACAATTGTTATTTTCTCCACCTTTATTGAGCTAACTTATTGAGCTAAGGAAAAGGCAAGGCTCAAAGTGGCTCAAAGTATGTGTCAAAGTGCTTACTCATGACAAAAAATGACAGACATGAACCAACATCCTTAGAATTATATATTTTTTTAAGAATTCATTATAATTAATATATTAAGTGACTCTGAGACAAATAGTGAAATTTGTTTGTCCATCTTTCCTGCACAGAATGAACGCTTAGAGAGTAACTACAATAGATTTTAACTTGTTCTTCATTCCTCTTTAGGACCCATCGCTAAGAAAGCAGAGTGTGTGGTTTTTGAGTGCCACAGGAAAGTAACCTCCTTCATCTTGCAAGCCAGAATATCAATATGCTGGCAGCTGACACAAATCTGCATCTGTTAAAAAGGATATTGCAGGTTTTCCCCTTTTTCCTAGCTTATGTGGCTGATGGGAGGCTGAGAATGACATCACAAAAAACAGTGAGAGCAACATTTTACCTGCATATGTTAACTGCTTTGATTTAGCAGGAGAAAATGCAATGTTTGCTATGACAAAATGACATCCATCCTTCTCGTCTGGACATCCTTGGGGAGGCTCAGGAGCAAGGAAAAGAGCAACAATTCTCCATGCTGCTTTCTGCTGAATAAAATGGAGATGTTAGGGCAATCGGTAATAATTGTACAAAATATTGAATAATGTGATGGTATTCTTCCCTTTAAGCGCAACAGAAAGGCCCATTCATCCTGATAACTTTTTAATAACAGCTATTTGTAATTGGTTTTAAATATACTTGTCCAGTACTTTAAGGGGCCTTCCAGTACCTAAAGGGGGCCTACAAGAAAGACGGGGAAAGACTCTTTATCGGGGGAGTGTAGTGGTAGGACAAGAGGTAGTGGTTTTAAACTTAAAATTTAAAAAATAATAATAATAATAATAATAAATATTTAGATTATATATAGTGAATGAATTATCTCTGAGAATACTCAGAGGGTGGTGAGGCTCTGGCACAGGCTGCCCAGAAAAGCTGTGGATGCCCCATCCCTGGAGGTATTCAAGGCCAGGCTGGATGGGGCTTTGGGCAGCCTGGTGTGGTGGGAGGTGTCCCTGCAGTTGGCAGGGGGTTGGAACAGGATGACTTTTAGGGTCCTTTCCAACCTAAAACATTCTGCAACTCTGTGATTCTATGTTTATAGTATACATTAACTTAACCTAAACAATAATTCATGGACAGAGTTTAGTTTTGTGGTTAGAACTCTCCTGTTAAAAGTGAACTCTTCTTGTCTCTGAAGACAAGTACTATCTCACTACTTTTAGCATCTGATACACTATCTCAGGCAAATTATTTTTTCAGATTTTCAGGCAGGTTCTTCTGTGTTAAAGCTCTGTTTTTATTTGGCGAAATGCCACTCTGCTTCTGAGTTTTAATGATGTGAAAAGAACACAACCCATGCAATATCTCCTCAGGTTGTTTTAGAATTCAATGGGCGGCAGAAAATAACTTAACCACTCTTATTTATTAGTGGATCAGGGACTCTCCCATGTGAAATGAAGTTTGAATTATATTTATCCATGGGAAAATGGCACTTCATTGTATTGTATGTGCCTATCCACTATTCTTAATCATTAGGAGCTGGAAGAAATTACTAGCACCTAAATTCAGCTTCAACATGTTTGGTTGGAGATCTTTTGAAAATCTGAAATAATAATAATAACAACAACAATAATATCTACCATCATACTAATGACACTAAAACCATCACCTAGTTACTTGTGGTAACTTTTAGTTGACGTGGTAAATCTTTTCAGCAAATAACCTGTTATGCTACCTATACCATTCAATTATAAAAATGGATAATGTTACCTGGTTCTTAAAATTGGTAATGCCATATAAACTAAAATGATACAAAGATTTGAGATTTAAAAGTCAGTCTAAGCAGACTAAAGCCCCTGGACTAATTATTTCTCCTTACCAAATACCTTTTCCTGATTCCATTCCAGACTTTGCTAACTCTTACATGCCAGTTACATTACCTCTTATAGACCTTCTGCCAAGATCAATAATAATGATCAGACAAATTATTTTACTTCATGAATTGATTCCTGGACTGTATCCTCAGTCAGGTAGAATTGACTATTCATTTCATAAGTACTACATTGTTTGCTTATAAACCTATTTGACTCACCTGTTCTTCCAGGATGTCTCTATTTTGGAACAGTCTCTCTTTTCTTCATTTATTAAGATAAAGGCCAAGACTGATTAAAAAAAAAAAAATCCTGGTTATGTACATTTCAAGGTGGCCTTTTTCTCTGTCTTTGCATTCACTGTTTGCATACACAACATATCAGTGGCCTCAAGTAGAGAAACAAACATCAATTAATCAATTTCTTTTATTCCACAGTTGGCTGAATTCATTCAAGAATGCTGTAAAGCATCTCAGTTATGTACATTAATATACTAATATGAAGCAGAATCAAGCTGAAATGCAAAGCTTAAAGCATAAAGTCTTACCTAGCCACCCTCTCAGCCTCTTTGTTAGGAAATACTGGGCCTACTATTCCCCCTTTATCTGTTACGTATTGATTTCCAGCTAAAGCCAAATACTATAGAAAGGTTATAGTTGCTATGGTCCTTTCAGAGACGACTAGCCTTTTAGCTTGTAATTCCACTCCGATTTTCCTAAACTTGTAACTGTTCTCATACGTAATCAAGTCAGTGGCAAACACCTTCCTGAAGCATTCAGTGAAATAAATGCTGAATATTGTTTTGCCATTAGTGCAAGTACATCACTGGTTATTTGTATTAAGGCTTGATGCAGCGAGTGCCAAAAGCAAAATGAATACTAAGTATCCCAAGTGCATTCATAATAAAATTAAAATCATTTTGTGGCTACCATCATTTGGTTACAGGATCAAAGCAAAAATAATACTAGATGCCAAAAAATCAAGCTCTTTTGTTGCAGCAGAACCATGAGCAATGAAAAATTAAATAAATGCATTAGTGGAAGTATTTAGTAAGGCCAAAATCTATTTGCTAAGAACAATTTACAGAAATCAAACTCTTGTTAATGAAAAGTTCACAAAATAGAGAAAGGATCTTTTTGGTTTGTTTGTTTTTACAAACCTCATTGGATACAAAGTTCCCCCAGTTTCCCTGGCATCCATCTGTGGCTATAATCTGGAAGCAATAATCTTTATCAGAGGCTTCCTTTAATTATCTCATTCTACATAATAACACAAAACACTCATGGCAGTCTGCAGCAGTTATGGGTTTTGTTTCTTTGTCAGACTTCTCAGTGACAGACTAGTCGTTAACATCTGATTTCTAAACACTTTCAAATCACCTCTTAATTTTTGTCACTCTGTCTGGAACCTCTATTATCTTTCATCGGTAGAGAAAAGCTTATTGTCTTGAAGCAAAGCTTCAGGTTCTTGTCTACATTTGATAAAACTATTTATATAAGACTATTATACTATAATGCATGGTGAGATGCAGGAAATCCCTACCACTTCAGAAAAGTATTCTGTTATCAGACCTTAACTGTGCTCTATTTACGAATTTGTAAGTTCCACCATTATGGTGTCTGCTATTTTTGCAAAAGCACTGAAAAAAATCCAGCTACACAATTTAGATAAACAAGCACCTTGGTCCCTACATGGGCTGGCACTCACCTGCTGCCTGCTTTTGCCCTTGCCCATTCCTCCTGCAGCATGGCTCTTTCCAGCAGCTGGGATGCAGTTCCACGGGGAAGGAAGGCAAGAGGGCACAAAGCACTTACGGGCTCTGGTTTGAGGGCAAAAGGGAGCAGCACTGTAAAATTGATGTGTAACCACATGCAAAGTCATGCACAGGCTGAGCATATGATTGCCACAGAATGGCTGAATTCAGAATGAGAAACAAAAGGTCCAGCGGGGTGAAAGAGAATAGCAAAATGTATCTCATACTGTAGAATTGTTCTTCTTGCAATAAACGTTCCTCTTGAGAAGAAAATGAAATTTTGTGTTTTGTTGTTGTTGTTGTTTTGTTTTGTTTGTTTGTTTTTGTTTTTTTAAGTGTCCACGATTTTTGAGCAGATTGAGAGCATAGCATCACTAAGAAAGGGAAAATATACAGAAAGCAGTTAAATGCTGCCAGCCAACATGAGAGCTAAACACATTCATTGTATCAGAGAGATTTGCACTTTGTGTATGGCACAATCTGGCCCGACCTCAAGTCACCCTTACAGGCTCATTACCAACAGAGACCAGCACTGTTTTTGTAGACAACCTCAAGATGAAGCCTAAAATCAACACAGATAAAATTACTATGACTTTATATAGAACATATCTCAAAAAATAAAAAATTACACGACAACAATGAGAAGAAGACCAACTTCTCTCTTCTATCAAAGTGACAAATTTCACTTCTTTTTTTCCTTCCTTCCTTTTTTCCCCTGAACCAAGGTCTGAAGAACAATTTTTAAGATCTAGTACTCAGAGCTTCGGAAGTCCAGAATTAAGACTATCCAAACAAGCATAATCCCAGTTATCCACAAGGAAAACCATTTGATTTAAATGATGTGCCTGCTTCGTTTTCCACGAGGTTTTGTACATTACAGAAGCTGTCAGGGGAACTTCAAGGTGGGAGCAGATGTATGGTGTAGGAACCAGAAAGTCAGCCAGGTGAATGCACTTCCATTGCTGCTGCAGATGTCACAGGTGACCGAAATCCCCAGGTTTCCCTCCCAGCTCCAAAGAGAGATGTTTTGCACTCCTCACTTTCAGCACATCTTCCTTCAGGTGTTAGCTTTCAAGGGTGTGATCTGAACAGACAGTTCTGCAGCAAGGTCACAGACGAGTGTGCACTCCCAGCCCTGCTCATGGCCAGCTCTGCAAATGGGGGCAGTGAGACAAAATCCTATCGGAAAAAAAAAAAAAAAAAAAAAAAGTATAATCAAAAATTAAAGATAAATCAGACAAGTGAGGGAGGTCTCAAAGTTAATATTGTCCGGGTAACTGTAACCTTGTTTTTCTTTTGAGATCTTTACTTTACCACACTAATATTATCATAGCAGATTAGCTGTGTTATCAGGTAGAGAATTTATAACTAAATATATAGAAGTTTAGAGAAAAAAAAATGGAAACAGTTCTACTGTGGATTAAAGGAAAGCAGACTGCCCCTGCATCCACTCGCAGAACAAATCTGACCTCCTTCCCATACAAACATAACAGGGGAAATAATTATGGAAATGAAGAGAAACGAACCATGAAAGGGTTACAGAATACAAAATGCTCGCGCTACATGTGGCATACGGAAGGTGGCTAGAAATCGAGTGCTTGCTATTTTTTCAAGCACAAGAAGTGGAGTTCATTGATGAAAGCCAATAGGAGACACATTTGAAGAAAGAAAAGGAGATGGTCCTTCACATAACAGGTGGAATTTGTTCAAAAGTAAACACTATCAGTACCTAAATAACTACCAGTAAAAAATAAAAAAAAAAAAGTTAAAAAAAATAAATAAATAAATGTAGACATATTGGATTAAGTTCAGAGAAAAGCTACAAAAATAATTAGAGGAAACTAAACTAAAAGAAAAGAAAGAAAGAGAAGTACATATATAATGCTGGCCAAATGACAGCTAAGCTATGATTACATCTACAACAAATATTTAAAATGTGTAAACTCTACATTGGCTCATTAGCAGAATCATTTAGAAAGATAAAAGAGTGGATTGAACAAATATCAAGGAAAAAACATTAAGTTCTGAACACTGAAGTTCAGTAGTAGGGAAAACTTTCATTGGTCTGTGAAATTTAATTAATTGGCATAATAATAGAATAAGCACTAGAATCTACATTAACTTGTAACTGCAGTAGGCAAAATTAGAGAATATTATAACAGGAGGTTTCCAAAGGATTTTCTAATCAGCAATCTGGGGGGAAAAAAAGACTTTCTAACCAAGTTGATTTTTTTTTTCAGGAAATCATAATTTTATTTAAAATTGCCATTCTATTGTAGACATTTCAAAGTGCATTGTTTTAAGATTTTTTATTTTTATTTTTTATTTTTTGGTGAAGTGTACTAAGGGATGTATATATAAGGAATATAGAAAAGTATATATAGAAAATTAATAACTAAGTCCTCCCAAAAAGTTATCTAAAAAAAAAAAAAAATAGCACCCAGGGTAATTTCCTGAATCTGAAGAGTATACAAATGCAAAGAACTCAGAAGAACACCACAAGTATTGCTATCCAGTGTCACTACAGGTTTTGGCAATCTATTGAACTAGAAGGGATGCCCAAGCATTATCTGAGAAGAAAAATGACTTATTAGACTGCAATCAAGACAAAGAATGAATGAGAAATCCCCGGCCAAGAAATCCAGCAGTCTCTTTCCCTTACAGCAGATAGGAACAGCAGGATCCTATAAGACAGATCCGAGCCAGAAGTTCGAATCTGTCACTGCATAACAGCACAAGCTGGACTTAGCACAGCTAGAGCAGCAGCAAAGAGAAACAAACTGGAGCAGAACATGGGTAAAAGTGGAAGCACTCACTGTAATCCATGAGCTAAACGCAGACAAACTAAGTAGGGAATTATGTGATTTCTGATTTTTAAATCTGAGGAATTTCCACAAGAAACCGTATCTTAAGTGTATCAAGATTCTTTCCCCAGCCATATATCGCAAAAATCTTTAGTTACATATTTCAGAAACATGACAAAGGGCCCTTGCAGACCATATAGTCATTTAATTAATACGTGAAGTACCAGCTTTTTCCAGTTCAAGAACCAAAATTGTGTGATGAGTTCCTAATGGCCATAGTTCATCCACAGGTCTGGGTTTATACCAGTTTCATCTGCATAGACTGTCTAATGTGTTTAGCCTCTATGAAGAATTTGTTAACAGTAAATCAACGTTGTCATTATTTAATAATCTGACTGTGTTCTATCCTGCTGAGTGGAAATAGTCAATTCTGACTTTCAAACATCTTAATTTCAGGTCATTTTATTGGATGGGCAGCATTAGATAAAAAGCATCCAAATTAGAGAAAACATAAAAGTCTAACATGATTTCATTTGGCAAGAGAAATACACACTGACATTTCTTTTGTCATGCAAACACACGCTGAAAAGGCAGGGTGAGAGGGAGTTGTATAGTACCGTATTTGTCACACACGCATTAAAAGCCTCAGAGGCAGAGCCACACCGCGATTAACTGGGCTCCTGCAAGGTGGGTGAGGGCTTCCCTGAGGAGGCACCCCAGTGGTGCAGGGGTGAAAGGGTGCCAGGGATCAATAAGTGCTGCAGGACAGAAGAAAGACAAGAGCTGGGCTGAGGCATGCCCCTTCTCATACATACAACACCCTCTATCACGGCCAGCTGGCTGGGCCCAGACCTCAGTGAATGACACGTCTGAAATACCAAGTCACAGAATCACAGAATCACAGAATTTCCTTAAACTGCTGTAATTTGTTCTGTTAGCACAATAAAGAAAGTGTTACACACAACTACTCTTCACTGCCTCACAAGCAGAAGGAGAGGCTGAGAAAATCCAGATCTTCTCTAGATATCTATGGTGAGCAGCAGGACCCTCAACAGACTACAGCTTCAAGGTAGACCTTGCTAGAGATTTTCTTCACAGTGGGCTGCCAAGAAGGACCAAAAGGCTCTTACATTAAAAAATAAATAAATAAAATAGAATAAATCAAGTTGATTAGACTCAAACTTCTTCAAGCCTGGAGCATGAGCAGGTGCATCAGGACCTCCACCTCCCTCCACAGTCAGTGGAGTTTCCTGACCAGCTTCTGCCAAGGAACGTGGAGGCACAGTGTGAAAAGGAAATATTTCCACGGGCAGCCATGCAGACACCTCCTGTACTGATGAAATGCTAGCCCAGTTCCTGGAGTACTGCTGTCCTTGGCCAGCTAGCATTACATCAACCAGTGCCCAATGCAGTTTGTTGGCATGCAGAATCAGAGGGTGCACCCACACACTGCTGGCTAAACTGTGCTGTCTTAACCAAAACTCAGTGACAAATCCTAAAACTACTTGTGGGAGAAGGAATAGTGCGTGCTAATTACTGACTATCCGTAAGGCCATCATGAGATTTCAACAGAGACTGAGTTTTCCCTCTGTAAACTCTACTTTAAAAGTCTCTTCACTCAATAACATGACTGCCCATGACAGAGTAAGTTAATAAAGCAGCCCATGCAATCATTCCAAGTAAAGTTTGAATGGACATCCTGTTGGAATGAAGTGAGATTTTGGAGACCAGAATTGGGTCTACTGGGCCTTAGCGGGCTGATAATGCTTCAGTACCTGTGGACATCCCCAGGCACATTGAAGGCTGCAGCCTCACTGCCCAATGCACAGTGTTAGGAAGGGATTTACAACACCATGGGCCAGCAGGCACAGAATAGGGAAGAGTGAAACAGAAGGTTAAATTAACTTCAGCATTTGACTTAATACTGGATTTCTTCCTTCCCTCAGAAAAGCAGAATTCCCTACTCTTTAATCCCTTGCAACATCGTCTTGCAGAATCACGCATTCCTCATTCTTCCTCACAGAGCTCAAGCTAACATGGGTTCATTTCACAGACTGGCAGAAGCCAACGCTGAGATCCCATCCTGCTGGCAGGCAGAAAAAAGGGCACATGGCTGTACTATAACTATGACCGCTAACTACCCAGTTCTCTCAGAAAACACACATTACATTATTTACTTTGTGTAGTACATGTTACATTTCTATAATGCATTGTTTGTTTGTTTGTGTTTTAGGATTTGTCTTCTGATCCTTCATAAAAATATTTTGCAATAATCTGATATAGATTTGGGGTCAAACATCTGTATTCCACCAGGCAAGCCCAGCTGTGGCTTCTGGAAAGGCAGAACATATTGTGTGAAAAGTAGGAAGGTGACACTTTTTCCACTAAAACATTGAAAAATAAAAAAATGACCCTACCTTTGGAATCAACGATTACCCTGGAAATCAAAAAGACTGCAAATGTTAAGCACCAATAAAAATTTAATTGTTTTGCATATATGTCAAAGCTTATGTCAAGCACGTGCTATTATGTCTAGGCCTTAGAGTCCCACTTTCTTGAATTATGACACGGTCAGACGCAAAGCTTTTTAAAAAGATGTGTAAAGGTAAATATAAAATTAAGTACACGTTTGTAGTCCTTTAAGTCCCATAAGACATGAAAATATGACCAGGTATGAAATGACAAGGTGACATATCCCTAAACAATCAGAGAACTGGAAACGATGGCTCAACAAAAGGCAAAACATCCAATACCTCAGCTGGGGTGCCTCCAGACTGCTGTAGGAGAAGAGAGTGGGGAGGATGTGCTTTGGTCTCCCACCGCTTCCCAGTCATGTACATCTTGGACGCTGGGGTGGAGGTGAGGAGGGACTGCCTGTTCTCTCCCATCACCTACTGCCCTTAGGCTTCTGGTTTCTGAAACCTAGGCCTTTTGGGGGGTTATTTCTTTTAACTGCTTCTAGCCACAGGAATGAAAAGAAGTGGCATGTCTCTAGCCAAACCTCTCTGGGGGTGGCCTAGATCTAGTTATTGCTTCACTCACCACTTCTGAGGAAAGGACCGTTTCGTCTCCTCTGGTGGCCAAGAGAAGGTAGAAAGGGCTACTGCTTCAGAGAGGGGCTGCAGATTCGTGGGAGGTGCATAGGTAGCTTCAGCATCACAGACAAGAGTTCAGCACCCAGTTTTGACCTTATCCCAGTCAGGGGCCACTTCTACGTTTCAACCTCACCTGCGCCCCCAGGCTTAGTGCTATTATGCGGCTTTGCTGGGCAGCACCGAGATGCTCAGCCCTTTGCAGAATGAAATCCACAGTGACTTAAAATTGAAATCAGGGTTACCAATAACTAAATGGAAATAGTGTTGTTTCCCAGA